TCGAGAGGACAGCCAGAGGGGCAAACAAGGCCCTGGAACTCCTGTTCACTATACGTCAGGTTAGACGACGTATGTGAACATGTGTTATTTTCTTTCCATGATAATACAGTTGCGTTGATGGCCACCTGGATTTTGGGTGATAATAAGTATGACAATAGATAAATAAAATAAAATTATGTATCAAAAGATAAAATTTAATAACAGCCAAATCTAAATTGAATACGAAATGAACTAGTGAAATAAAATCATAAGTAAATAATGGACAACATCCTAGCGGGTGTATTTTGAGTCATCTATTTTTCAGTAATGTCTGCTGTAGTATTTTTTTTTTATAAATCCTCTTTTCATATATCTATTAGTTTACAAATATCGAGTATATTACCCTCACAGTCTTACCTCTTCTGTAATATTGAAGGAGATGCAGGAACTGTCGCTTTGGAGTGAGGAACAAAGGTGCGCTTCTGTTGCAGTTGTCTCGCAGAGGAAGTTGCAATTCTGGGGAAGTTTGATGCAGTGATTATCGCGCGCACGCATAAACACACACACACACACACACACACACACACACACACACACACACACACACACACACACACACACACACACATATGTAAATACATACATACATACACATATACATACATACAAACACACAAAATACGATCTACAGGACTATAACCAACGCCGTCAGTTCTATTTTACTGTTATAGTTCAAGCATTGCCTAATTCTCTGTTGAAAAGCTAAAGCGCAAGGCAGGGGCTCACAGAAAACCACTGATCTTCAAGGGAAACCACTCTAAAGAGAGTCGTTGCCTCGCTCTTACCTATTGTTTCAAGGTTTTAGTTACACGTACACGCGGAATGCCATTGATAGATTGTTGCAAAATTGTATTCACCTAAACAACAGAGCGATATGTGCCTTTTTGGTGTTTTCTATTACAAAAAAAAAATGTTTCTGCCAGAGATTACCGAAAAAAATGAGGCATAGGGCTTACGCAAGCAAGAGAAATTGAAAATCGTACGAGCTTACACACATATATATAATATATATATATATATATATATATATATATATATATATATATATATATATATATATACATATATATATAAACCAATGTTTACCATATGTAGTAATTGCCTTTGCAGAGAATTCCCTCCGATTTTTAAACTTAGGGTTTCTACGTTTCGAACCTGCAATCAGACACGCTTACCTTCAAGACCATCTGAAGATCAGTAGAGTTACGAAGGTCGTGGCAATAATCACAAGACGACCAGGTGAGAGCGTGTCCGTCTGGTCCACAAGCAAGAGTGAGCGAGTTGGAGGGACGAGGAGGCACGTAGAGGAGCGACAGGTGGAAGACGACACACAGGAGAGTGTTAAAACATACGACGATTTTGTACTTGCCAAACTTGTCCGCGATGATGCCTGTGGATGAATCGTGTAGATAGACATGTAGAATCACAAACCTATGTACAACAGCTTAACACTTATATAATTACTGATTTCTTCACACTCAGTAACATTTATATGGGTAGGAAAAAAAATATATATATATACATATATATATATGTGTATATATATATATATATATATATATATATATATATATATATATATATATATATATATATTATCACAAGAGGCTAACATCATATTTCGGTCAATAAGTTCCAGTTTGATATAAACTAGGTTAAATCATAAAAGTATGAAAATAATATCAATTTTTATTTCATGATTTTAATCGGAAATAAGAACTGCAACTAAAGTTTACCTGATATCGGTGGCCCGAGCAGAGAAGCGATCGGCAAGAAGGCATAAATGACAGCGATTTCCTTGACAGTGATGCCCAGCGTCTGCATATGAAGCGTCAGGTATGGCAGGAAACCCGTAGCGCCTTTACGATGACGAATATACAATGTATTGTTTAATGGATTATGAAGTGATGTTTAATTATGTATTGTGTGAGTCATCATTACCACTATCATTCTGTTACAATTACCTTTTGTTTGTTTCTTTGATTGTTTCAATACACATAATTATTTGTTTTCCTTCGTAGCTATACATCTATGCGTGCATCTCAGTATACATGGGTACATATCATTAATAAAGCTTAAGAAAGACTTATTCTCCTTTCATAAGTAGTGAATCTCAGAAGTCAAATAGTTTAAACTCATCACTGGCCAGTTGCATCGAAAAAATGGCCGGTTGCAATGTGAAAACGGTGTAAAACTGACATAACATTTAATAATAATGATGATGATAATGCTAATATCAAATTCCAAATACACAATTGCACTTATGACACAATAAGGATGATGCAATCGCTAGTAGAAAAAAAAAATGAGTTGTCAAAATCAACAATAGAAGTATATAATATTTCCATTATCTACAAAAGTGCGAGTTGAAGTCTCCGACGTTAAACCTTTTATTCAAAGTGTAAACAACAGATAATAAGGACTAGGTATTCCTGAACCATATCCCCAATCTCTCATCCTCTCCCCCAAAACATCCGGAGTAAAATCGAGACAGTCTGTCCTTAAGATGACCACGTAATCCTTACATAACACCCAGCGTATAATATAAATTATTTACGAGCGTCACTGACCTTAGCGTTATGTCACATCTCGCATACTAATTCTTCCAGTTCGTCATGGTCAGTGGAAAAAGAAAATCATCATGATTGCTTTGTAAGAGAAGCGTACACGTGATTTTTAGGAATATTTGTATTTTCTCACTAAATCGGGATAAGTGAAACTCTATTGTTTTGAAAAATAGAAATATATACGTAATGCTGTCTGTATATAATGTGTTATATCATCCAAAACTTTAACTCTCACTTTCTCTATTAGGAAACAAAGATAGAGACGTGGACAGTATACAATACGTAACCAAAACTAAATACGGAACTACCGGTGACAGACAAAACAACCATTAACGATCGAACTACCAATTGTCGAAAGGCCTCTTGACTTACCTCCCATGAAGAGGAAGTAAATAACCTTGATGGGTATCAGTTCCTTCCTCCAAGTCAATCCTTCTTTGAGCTTCGTCTTCCAGCCATTGTCGCTCTTCTTTCCCGATTCCATTTTCTTACGATTTCCGAAACTGTGAAGACACGAGAAAGAAAGGAAATTTGATATCATTCCAGTTTGTTTGAAAACCGTTTCTGTGATAATACAATAATAATAAAAATAATGATGATTATGAAATTATGATGATAATGATGAAAATAATGATAATTATGATAGGATGATGATAATAATGATAATCAAAATGATAAGAAATAATGATAATAATGATAATGATAATGATATTAAGGCAAGAAAAAATCGTCAAATTGTAAAAGAAAATTGAGGATTATAGGATTCTTTTGAGGAACTATAACAGAGGGATAGCGGTAATAATAGTGACAACCAAAAACTTGGGCGATGCCACATGTAAATAAAGTCGAATGCGTGATACAAAGGAACGATACAGAATCGAGGGGGAAAAAAGATGGAACAATGAGATAAGCCTTGTTATTCTCCATCGCCTCCGGGTACAAGACAAAGGATACAGGCTGAGACTTTGTACCTGTAATGCCTGCTATTATGCCCCGACGCATGTCTTCGCCCCCCCCCCTCGCTTCCTCAGAGTTAAGGGCTGGGCATACTAATCAGCGTGAGGCGACAGTATGTACCTTTGTGCCACCTTCGAGAAAGTACACGGAGGAAGTAGGTACTTGCTAATGCATTATGCAAAAGCAGGTTTCGGGGTACCTGTGTTAAGGTTATTTTGGGGATACTGTGGGTATTGTCAGCGATATTTTTGGTGATGATGTTAGTAATGCTGACAGTTATTTACAATGCCGAATAGAGTGATAATAGAAAAAAAAATGTATGAAAGCAATGATTGTGGTGATGAGTATGTTAGCAATGATGACAGTTTTTTTTTTACACAGGCGAATAATATGATACTAAAAAAATAAATGCATGAAAGCAACGATATTTATTATGATAGTTATGCTAATATTTTTTTTTTGTACACAGGCGAATAAAATGATACTAGAAAAATAGATGTAAGAAACAATGATTGTGTTGATGATAAAATCATTAGTCATATCATAGATAATGTTCATATCAGTCATGCTGACAGCAAAACCGGGATGATAACAAGAATTCAACGATATGTGACCATGAATACTGTAGACATCGTGCCATAGATTTTTTTTCCATATATTACAACCACGTCCATGTAAGAGCAAAGGTCAGTGTCACAAACCTCGAGGCGACCTGGGAAGGCTAGACGGCTGCACGCAAGATAGAAAAGAAAAGAAATATATATATACATCTATATATATATATATATATATATATATATATATATATATATATATATATATATATATATATATATATATATATATGAATATATATATATATATATATATATATATATATATATGAATATATAAATATATTTATATATAATATATATATATATATATATATATATATATATATATATATATATATATATATATATACACATATCTGTGTTTTATGTAATAATTATGATAATAATAATAGCGATAATAATAATGATAGCGGTAATAATAATAATCATAATGATTCTACTACTACTACTACTACAACTACTACTGCTAATGATAATAATAATAATAACTATAACTACATCAACAACAACAAAAATATGATAATAATAATAATAGTAATAATGATATTAATGATAATAGTAATAATGATATTGAGAATAACAATAATAAAAGATCTAGGCAGACGTCAGATAATGCATAGCTCCTACAGATTTCATATTTAGTCCCCTTATCCTGTGTGCTAGGATTATGGTCCTAATCACTCGAGGATACAGTGAGTGATTGGGACTGTCCTCGGCGCTTTAGCTCACTAATTCATTGAACACATCAACAATAACAGTAATAGTTATGACTAATAATAGTAAGAGTAACGATGATGATGATAAGGATAATAATAATGAATGATAATGATGGTAATGGCGATAATGATGGTAATAATAGGAACATCAACAACATTTACAAAAACAACAACAGTAAGTAATGATAATGATATACACCACAATAATGATAATAACGATGATGCTGGCTTGGAACACGCTACAATAGTGTTAGGAGTATCAGTAATAACACTTTTATATAACATGACTGCATAACATTAAAGATAATAACTTTCTATAACATATAAAACCATTATGCAATATAACTGCATAACTGATGAAATTTCTTTGAAAGTTAACATGCCAGTAAATGAAATGCTCAATTTTAGGGCAACTACAAAAATGACGGGAAACCTGAGTACTATAAAACACTGTTAAGAATAAGGCCGCATTAACTGACTTAATATTAATGATTGCGGACGCGTAACAGGGAATACCATAGCCAGGAATACTCGGGACGAATACACAGTGCTCATTATGACATAACGTGTCTCGGGCGCTTACTTTTAGACACTGCCTTCGAACAATATTTGAGAGGTGTGTATATATAGGTAGATAGATATTCAGTGTATATATATATATATATATATCTATATATATATATATATATATATATATATATATGTATATATACACACACACACACATACATACATACATACGTAAATACATACACGCACACGCACACACACACACACACACACACACACACACACACACACACACACACACACAGATCGATATCCTATTCATCGTAGGCATGCATTTGGACGCTTTAGAGCTGCGTGAGGCCAGGGAAACGGTTGATGATATATGTTTCTTATGAAATGAGGAAGCGTGCTTTACTAAGGACCGAAAGGATGACGCTTAGCCCATGACTGAGGTATGGAAAATGGGCTTTTTGTGGGTCATGTAAAACGGTTTCATAACTTCATATAAATATAAAATGATCAATCCAATTGTTTTCTGACACCATGGCTAAAGCTATCATGTTTTTATAGCCGAAAATTCGTCCTAGGAGTAAGTGTTAAACGCGATAAAGATTTCTTTTCTCTTGATTTGTGGTTTGTTATATTCAGTTTCAAAGTATCTCTTGCGAAAGAAATGTCTCAAAATGATTGTGGCTTTGAAGATCAGATCAAAGTTTTAGAGGAAATAATAATGATTGTTTTCATGTTTTGCTGAAAGGCCTTTTTATTTCCTCAGAATCATTGTCTAGACCGTTTATCCTGATCAAAAGGTAATTTAACGTGTCAGATATAACAGCTAATAGATCAAATCACGATTGTTTAGAAGATTTCTTTGCTTACATCCCTTTAAAATGGCCTGCGTGTGATTAAATTTCCCCATTTTCTGTGACACGCATCTGAAGGCACCTCTTGTCCAGGAAAGTACGTTAGCGATTTCATTGTCAAAAGAGCCATTTTGCCATACTGATAACTGAATAACTAACGATGTCTCTGCCATTCCTTGGACATTTTTAATCTTTGATAATGCTAACTTTGGTGAAAAAATGTCAATAATATTTAACTCGAAATAGTTCCACAGAAAGTCGCAGGAATTGAAAGGCTAAGATACATCGGTGATACATCGTAAATAAATTTCTTCAATAAAAGTTTTTTAAAGAATAAACTCAAGGAGGGAGATGCAAATAGATTTATGCAATCGGTAAAGAAGATTTAAATAAATAATATTTCTAATGTTGGTATCAGTCATTGATAAATCCTACTGTATTAGATTTCACATCTAACATGCTTAATATGGTTGGTATGAGACCAAAATGTAATAGGCTGAATTAAATACATTATCAGCTGCACCCAAAATATAAAGTCTAAATTTCCTTTATCTAGAATCAGTTCCTCAAGATTGAAAATAAATGCGTAGGCGTACGTAAACAGCGTCACATCATCACTAGTTTTATCGTGTTTTTCAACGCAGCTGTAAACGTTTTCGAAGTCTTTGTACATGTATATATATATATATATCCTTATTAACACATCAGAGTTCTATTTCTTCCTAAAAAGAATATAATAATAATTAGAGAGAGAGAGAGATTACCTGTCTCGCCGTCGCAGCCTGAGCTTGAGTTCTCGGAGGAATCTCGTGAACGAATGACACCGTACGCCCCATACATTACAGTACTATCCCTCCTTGGGCTGTTGTATAAGCATGACGTGACGAGGGTCCTATGCTGTTATCGGGAAGTAAGGACACTCGTTATTTAACCTGCTGTTTCGGGGACACTCGCTCCGTGAAGAGTTTTTAATTGATACACTGTATATATGTATATGTATATATGTATATATATATATATACATATATATATTTCAGTTATGTATTAGACCTGTAATCGTAATTTGGTAGCTCACGTATACAAGTATGTCACATTCGTTGGCGATAAATATCTAAAGATATAATTGCATGTCCCTTGTTTTGTGCATTTCATTGTTTAGATCCAGATTATCAATTATGAAACTACGTCACAATTCGTAAGAAGATTTAAATAAATAATATTTCTAATGTTGGTATCAGTCATTGATAAATCCTACTGTATTAGATTTCACATCTAACATGCTTAATATGGTTGGTATGAGACTAAAATGTAATAGGCTGAATTAAATACATTATCAGCTGCACCCAAATATAAAGTCTAAATTTCCTTTATCTAGAATCAGTTCCTCAAGATTGAAAATAAATGCGTAGGCGTACGTAAACAGCGTCACATCATCACTAGTTTTATCGTGTTTTTCAACGCAGTATATATATATATATATATATATATATATATATATATATATATATATATATATATATATATATATGTACTGGTAACAGTTACCCATAGAGAAGAAATACCAGGAGAAAAACAGAGGACTGTCATAAGATATCAGATTCAGGGAAGTTCCCTTCCATCAGCCACTGTCTGATAAACATGATTTAAAAAAAGAATAATACTTGACTTTTCACATTTAAATATGTCTTCTTGATTTTTGCATAACGAGATAGGTCGCTTTCTACAAGTTTCACACACACACAAATACATCCACACATCCACTCATTCACACACACACATACACACACACACACACACACACACACACACACACATACACAC